ATTGCGCGCCAAGCGCATCAAGTGTAGTAATAACTAGATTATATCAAGTGCTGCATTCATCAGGAAAAAAACATATATTTTGTGGTTCTCCTTGACTCCTTCTTCCTGTGCAACATGTGACTAGTAGTGTTTGTTTTATACATGTATATTATTGCAATAGAGTGTGTTTGACAATATGGTCAACGCGCACTTGGACAAGTACCTGGCACCCAGATATTTGCATCTATTTGTCTACACATTTTAAACTCCACCAATATGGCTGCGCGTGTATTGCTTTCCCCTTCACCCACCACTTGACTTCCGGAGGCAGGTGCAGGTGCCCCATTCCGCAAACCTCACGTGTTTGCGGTCCCTGGGCTGTATGCCACCCAGGGTGTCCTTCGCCGCTTGTGGCAGGCACTGTTGGCCATGCACTCTGGACAAGGTGTATTAGCCACAAGTCAGCTGTGAGCATAAGGCAAGGCCCACCTGCAGCCTGGCCAGTGGGCCAGCAGGAATACCACACATGCCTGCAATGCGCATGCACGCACGCACACTGTGCACACACCTACCCCGTGCATACAAACGCACACATGCATGCAGTGCACATACATGCACGTACACCATGCACACGCATGCACGCCCACATGCACCTGCAGCGTACATGCACGCCTGCAGCGAGCACGCGTATCCATACAAAATATAACTTAGATAGTATAGTATGTGCTATACGGGTAGTGTTAACAATATATATGATGAAATCAGAAGAAGTTTATTCATTTGTAGCTAAGTTGTCTTTGAGGCCACCTAATACAGATAAGGATAAACCAGGTTTTTCAACCACAAAATACAATCTATGACCATTGGGGAATTTATGAGGGACCATGGCAACAACTGAGTGAATGGCTTTCACATCAACAATGCATAGATCTGCATCTCCTTGATGCTCGCATGCATGTAATGTATCAAAAGAGCGCTGTTGCAGATCTGTATCTGGTGGCCCATACACGGACACCATAGCAAACACCTTGATCTGAAGGTGTGTCATCTTGAAGTAGTATCAAAGTTTACCATATGCGGGTGTCTCATCACCCGGTAATTGTAGCTAGAGCAATTTGTTAGTAGTGACAGCATAGATATGTCCAAAAACTCACCAGTACATTCTGTGATTGACAAACACCTTTTGTCATCATGTCTTCCTGCCATGTGGAATGTGCTACCTGCCAATTTGGGAGCTGCAGATGGGCCCAGCATTGGATGCGGGGTGCACCATCAAGCTTGTAGCCAAGTGAAGTAAGGGCATCAGTGAGAATGATCTCCTCAGAGGGAGACACTGGGCAAGAATACCAATCCCACTGACAAAGGAGAAGGTACCCATTGCCAAGATCTTTGCAGCGACAAGGTAGATATGGGCACTTGGGATCCAGTTCCTCAGGATAAAGTACTTTGAGGGCGTTAACTTGACATCTGAGCATAGCATGCACTGACAGATTGGCATATGGACTGACATGGCTGCAAATTTTGCACCCGAGATCTTCAATCATATGCTCAAGTGTCCATTGTGAGCATACAATTGGAGGGCCTTTGTGCTCCGTTTCATCAGCAAGATGGGTGAGAGCATGTATCTAGGGCCACACAAAATTTATGCAGCTCGTGTGACCCTGTACATACAAGTTCTCAAACTCCCAAGCAAATAATTTCATGTGCTTGTCAGCTTTGGCCAGTTGTGTGGCGGTTATTGAGTGCTGCTACAAGATCCAGATACCTCTTACAAGCCGGCAGAAATGCTGCCAATACTTCTCATCAAGTATGCCTGTGTATTTCATGAGCACGGCTTTAATATATAAAAAAGTAATGTGTACCAAAAAAGAGGGCAGGGCCAATTCCATATAGGAGATTCAACCATTCCCAAGCCTTGTAATGACTATGGATTTTTTGAAGATCCTGAGGAGTCCTGTCAAAGGAGATGTGGAGGTAGGTTGCCCAGGAAGCGACGTGATTGCCAAGCCATCACCATGTGTCTGAGTCTGCGAGCGCTGCCCAGCCCCAGCATGATGGGTGATCATCATCTTTGGTGGAGTGTGTACCTTGCCACAGGGGAATGAGTAGATCCCTGACATTAATTGCAGTGAGATGCATAATGTCACAGCCCCAGCCAAAAGGAGGGGGGAGAGATTGTGGCATACCCATAAAAATACCCAGCTTCCTGATCCCTGTTTCTTGTTGCCGAGCGGCAAACTCTTGCTGTGTGCAAGAAGCAAGAACATGGGTGAGGTTGCCCCAATATTCACCAGCACCAGGAGATGGGAGGTGATTAATGTCAATGGTGTTGTGATCACAGCCTGCTTTGCTGTATATGGCTGGCTTTGTCGGCCTCTGTAGCACAGGATAGTAATGAGATGTGTCAGGAATATGTTGTCCAATCACTCCACAGTAAAGATGGCATGAGAACTTGCCATGATGCCCAACAAGCCCAGTTAAAAGTGCCATACCAGGTCTGTCAGCAGACTCAACTCAGAG